CTGGGGGGCATACCGAGGAGGGTTTGGGAAACTGCCTGTGCCATGAGTATGTAGGGCGTGGGAAGGGCTGTCCCCATATTGGCATCCCCTTGCTTTGTTGCCTCCCAACACTTGGCTCTGCCGGGTTAAACCTGGTGACCTCGCTGAGGCGAAATACCCGGAGGCTGCAGCTGTGTCCCTGCCTGAGCTCAGTGACTCCCCTGACACCACGGGGGTCGCTCCTGGCTCTGACCGTGTAGCCTCCCTCCTCACCGGTGAGAGCACGCGTGGGCTTTGCACTGCCTGGGTAGGAAAGAGCCAAAAGCTGGGAGAGCTGCAGCTGGGAGCAGCCCCATGCTGCCCGTTAGCGGTGCTCGGCTCTTCCCTCCCATGCCCATCAGTCCCCAGGGTCACACCTCCTGCCCCAGGTGTCACCGGGGGGGATTTGCTGTTGAAAATGGGCGAGAGGAGCTTCGAGCCGCCTGTCTCCCACCACGCTTGGCTTCCCAAGGGCAGACCCGTGTTTAACCTTCGAGGGGTGTGGCGCAGCACCTTTCCTCCGAGCGGATTGCTGTGGCTCTGAGAACAGAAAGGAGGATTTTGGCTTCTGAATCTGTTTGCTTTTGCAGTCGTGTGCTTCCTTGGTGTGCCCTCCTCACGTGGCGATGACCAGGCAGCCCGCACTGCCGCCGAAAACTTCCCCTCCTGCACGCATGACGTGGAGCCCGGGCAGACCGAGCTTGGCACACGTTTGCTGCACAATCTTGGGCTCCAGAGTGCGAGTGCCACAGGGCAGTCCCTGTCTCACCGTGGCGCTCCTCTCTCCCCAGGGCGTTTTTCTGGCTGGTGTCGCTGCTCCTGGCGTCTCTGATCTGGTTCGTTTCGGTTCATCTCAGTGATCGGGAGGATGCCAAGCTGCAGTACGGCCTCCTCATCTTCGGGGCTGCCGTCTCCGTGCTGCTGCAGGAGGCTTTCAGATTTGCCTACTTCAAGCTGCTGAAGTAAGAACCTGTCTGAGGGTGGCTCCGTGGAGCTGGAGACCACTTCTGGTCGCTGGGGTCAGTGCCCAACCTCTGTGTTTTGTCCGAGGAGCCCCACAGAGTATCTTCCTCATTAGATCCTGGGATGGAGCTGTTCCTGCTCACCCTGGGCTCCTCTATAGCCATCCCTTACCCTGACGGAGGCCCTGCTCATGCTTTCTTTCTCACCCGAGCAGGAAAGCAGATGAAGGGCTGGCGACGATCAGCGAGGACGGCCGCTCCCCCATCTCCCTCAGGCAGATGGCGTACGGTGAGCGTGACCCTGGGCAGGGCTTGGGCTGGTGCTGACCTCCCTGTGCTCTCCCAGGGCTGCCTGGCGGTGGGACTGGAGCCCAGTGGTGGTGTTGGTGGGCTCACACAGTCTTCCCAGGTCCCTTTCCTGCTCTCCTGCCTTTTCCTGCACCCTCGTGCTGAGTCTGGGACTCGCGGTGGTGCGGCGGCTCTTGGCTTGACGTCCTCCTCCCTCCGCAGTCTCGGGTCTGTCCTTCGGCATCATCAGTGGGGTGTTCTCTGTCATCAACATCCTGGCAGACTCCATCGGGCCGGGCATCGTGGGGATCCACGGAGACTCGCCCTACTACTTCATCACGTCCGGTGAGGCTGGGTGGACGTGGGACATGGGCTTGCACCGGGGGTGCTGCGGCAGCGCTGGGCAGAGCTGGAGTCCGGCCATGATGCGTGGCCTTCCCCAGGGCAAGGAGGAGGAAGGCGGTGGCGAGGTTCTCTCTCCCCTACAAAGACAGGCTGAGAGAGTTGGGCTTGTTCAGCCTGGAGGAAAGAAGAGGAGGCTGCGGGGGAACCTTAGAGCACCTGCCAGGACCTGAAAGGTGCCTGTGAGAAAGCTGAGGAAGAGCTGTTCACTGGGGCATGGAGCAATAGGACCAGGGGGGATGGTTTTAAACCGGAAAAGGGCAGATTTAGGTTGGATTGAGGAAAAAGCTCTTCCCCATGAGGTGGTCGAGCACTGGCCCAGGTTGCCCAGAGGTGGTGCAGGCCCCATCCCTGGAGATATTCAAGGCCAGGCTTGATGGGGCTGTGTGCAGCCTGGCTTGATGGGGCTGTGAGCAGCCTGACCTGGTTCAAGATGTCCCTGCTCGCTGCAGGGTTGGGCTGGAGGAGCTGTAAAGTTTCCTTCCCACCCAGCACACTCTGTGATTCTGTGAGGTCTGAGTGGATTTGTGTTCGTCTCTTCCCCAGCGTTCCTCACCATGGCCCTGGTCTTGCTCCACACGTTCTGGGGAGTGATCTTCTTCGATGCCTGTGAAAAACGCCGCTACTGGTGCCTGGGGCTGGTGGTCGCCAGTCACCTCCTCACCTCGGGGCTGGTGAGTGCTAAGCCAGAGCCAACCAGGCCTGAGCTGAAAGCTGTCCCCAAAGTTGTGGCTGTCATCGGATCCCATCTAGGCACAAGGAGGGGGGCACAGGGACACCTACAGCCACTTCAGTCTCCCAAAATCCCTGCCTCTGGGCTGTGGGGTGAATACTGACCCTCTTGGCCACGTTGGGGTGCGCTGGGGGGCAGGTCGGTTAATGAAGGGTTTGGGGACAGATGGAGGATGAGCCACTCAGCTGCCAGTGGGAAATGGCTGGGCAGGGGTTTAAGCCGGGCTTAGCAGAGCTCTGCTCTGCTGGAGGCATTGCCATTTCCCCCGCAGCCGTCTGGGGGTGCTGGCAGGGGGTGATGTTCCTGACACCGCTCGCTCTGTCCCCAGACGTTCCTGAACCCCTGGTACGAGGC